CTCCACCACCGCCCCCTCTTCACGCTGCTGGAGCGGGAGCCCGGCAGCCCCTTCGCCCTCCGCACCGAGCGGGGTCGCGGCATCGTCTCCACCCTGCGCCCACTGCGGGACCCTGGCACCCACCGCCTCAAGGTGCAGGCGCTGGCCCCGGGCGGGCAGCGGGCGCCCAGCATCTTCCTCCTCCTCATCTCTGTCTCACCCTACCCCTACTGACACAGCCGAGGGACAGGAGGGGACATGGGGTCACATCTCCTCCTGTCCCTCGCCACCTCACCAGTGGAGGCTCGTGGCTCAGGGAGAGCTGAGCTTGCACCTTTCCTCTCCCCCCCAGCCACTCCCTTGCTTTCCCCGGCCCCCCGGCAGCTCCTGCCTGCGTTGCCTTCACCCAGGCCCAGTCCCTGACTCAGCAGGGCCCTGGGGGGGCACAAGATGTCCCACCAACCTCTTGCAAACAACAGGTTTTGTTGCAACCCTGCTACTCGCACCGGCAGTCCTGGAGCAAACACAGCTCTGGGTGGCCTTGGCCGCGATCAGCCCCCAGATAGAGGTGGGGGGATGAGTCGGGTGACGGCGGCTGGTGAGGGCCCTGCTGGGTGCAGGGTGGGTCCCCTGGGCTGGGGAGGGTGCAGAGCGCCCTGGCATTTACCACCTATTAAACTGAAATAGCCTGTGTTCTATTTTTTTTTTTTAAATCCACTTGGTTCCTGTGCACACTTATTTATTTACGGTTTTGTTCCAAATAAAGGTGTTCTGTGGATAAATATCAGCCGTGCCTAAAGAAAGAGCTTCCTTCAGCACACGGGAGGGGGCTGCCCTAGCAGCAGCCCTGATTTCCCGGGGCTTTGGGTACCTCCCTGCGTGGCCTTGGACCATAGAAGGGAGATTGTCTGGATGTGGCAACGCCAAAGGGCCAATGTCCAGCACCTGAAGGTCCAATCCTGCCCCAGCCTCGGGTCCCTCGGTCAGCGGGAGCAGGATCTGGCCTTTGTGCAGGTGGAGGCTGTTCCCAAAAAAGCTGTTTCAGGCCCCCTTGATGGCACTGGCTGGAGGGGACGGGGGGTGCTGGCCCCGAGGACCTGAGCCCACGTGTCCCCGGGTTTGGGCCATTGGCTCTGATGATGGCTGTGCACCCAGGTGAGGGTGCTGCGGTCAGATCCCATCACTGGAGCTCACTCTTGCTGCACCTGTGTGGGGACACTGAGATTCCCCCAAAAGGCCCTGTCCTTTGGCTTAGGGGTTCCCTGTCCCCCAAGGCCAGGTCTGCTGCTGGTCTGGGGTCCCTTGGGCACATGCAAGGGAGAAAGGCGGGTTTGCCCCATGCACAGCCCCCTGCCCCATCCCCTCCTGCCCACCCAGGCTCCTGCGGCTTCTCCTGATAGAGTTTTTCAAATAAATTCAACCTTCCCCTGCCACGCTGTGCTGGGGAGGAAAGCGGGATGGTCGCAGAGCATGGTCCCCATTTTCCCACCCCTGGGGGCAGGTGGCTCCGTGGGGTCCCCGGGGCGGGGGGCACCCCTTCGGTGCTCTGTGGAGGCTGATGAGGAGGTCAGGAGTGGAGGACACACGGGTGACAGCACCGAGAACAGCCCTGCAGCAGGCTAGGGCCAGGCACAATCTCCATCCCGGCTTGGGGTGCAAGCTGCCCCCCCCCCCTTTTCTGCACCCTGCGGGCAGGAGGAGGGCAGGGCCTCGCCTGGGGACAGTGCCCACGGAGGGGACAGTCCCGTGGCGGCTCCGCCTGCCCACGCCGGGCTATAAGGGAGGAGGAGGCGGCGGATGCTCCAGGCACCGGAGCGAAGCGCCGAGGGCAGCGAGTGGGTGAGTGCGGCC